CCATTTAAATATTTTGGGGTGATGCTTACCCTTGCTTGGGGGTGAAAGTGGCGGAGTCAAAAATACCAGCAAAGAATGTCCCCCTTTAATCTAAAATCGACCGGTCTGAGCGTTTTTCTACAATCTTGACGCAGTTCCTGAAAATGTCTCTGTTTCGTTTTCATTTGACCACTCTGTATATTGTACTGGTAGCAAACGGATCGCACTTTGAGAGTAGCTTGCTTGGATGAAAAGTTACTCATTTGTGTGCACACCAAAAAATTCCAAGTTTGCCAAGTCATATGTCTAGAAAATTATTTATGGTTAGACTTAATTGTATCTCTCATTTAAATGTTCATCGTATTTTTTGTAATAGAGTTTCACATAAATTAAATAAATAAACGGGCTTCCCCGAAACCCCCCTCACAATTTTTTTTAACCTTCCAGATACATGCACATGCTACAGCACGTCTACCGTACTAAAAATTTCACAAAACCCGGCCAGTACGTGAAGTGCTTCCACAACACGGAAAAGGTCCTCACATTGCACAACCACTTCCCGTTGAGCTGCCTGGGCAGTGGTTGTACCAGCTACCCGATCGAGACAACCGACGCCCAGTTGCACCACTACCGCGCCGATTGCGTGAAGACCCTGAAGAAGAGCTGCGAGGAGTTCCGCAAGACCAGCGTCATGGACACCACGATATGGAAATTCAAGGACCCGTTGGTGGCCAGGGTGTCGTCGACTTTGAGGACGCTGGGTTTTTTCCCCGGTTCGGACTCCCAAACTACTTCGAATACTATTCAGAAACGATGATGATTGTTAGGTTTTTTTTTATGGTTGGATAAAGAATAATTTGGAGGAATCTGGCAAAGGTGGAGTCTCATTAAGGAAGAAAAGAGAATTTAGAAAATTCGAATTGCTTTGCTGCATTTTTGAGGCAAGTTGTACAGGGTGGTTCGATTTCTTTATTAAATTTTAGGAAACAGATAGATTTGTCAAAGAAATAGTAGAAGTTTGTTATATGGGTATCACTTTAGAATTTTACTAAAAAATTTAACTTCATAAACGCCTAATAATTGCACTATAAACAAATTCTATTTTAATTCTACAAAATCTACAAAAGTACAAATTTTTTTAACATAATAATACCCAAATACCAAATTATCATTAATTTACCTGTTCCTAATATTTGAATAAAAAAAGTCAAACCACACTGCACACAACTGTCAAACTGAGACGCCATCTAGTATCTATCAGTAAACTAACAGCATCTTCAACTGTTTTATCAGAGTACTAGATAATTTATGATAATAAACGATGTTATATCACTGAGATAATTTTTAAATTTAACTGAAAACGGTGTTTTTGTAATGATTTGGCAAAAAAAAATTATAAATAAATTTGACAGCTGCATTACTAGATAGCGTAACGGTACAACTTCCTGCCGGTTCCTCTTTATTCAAATATCTCATTAGAGTAATTTATCACTTCTATTATCATGATTTTTTATCGTTGTAGAAAACCGCATAGACTGTTTCTAGGCCACTATTTTTTATATCAAATATTATCATCATAGACCTGCGGATTTCATGTAGAAATTCATTTTATTTTATTTTTTTATAGAAAATGCTTTCGTTTTACGTGGTCCATAAATATTTTTCAGTGCCTTTAAAAAAACATTCCAAATTGGCTAGGTTGCATTAAAAAAATTATATGATGTTTTATAGATTCGTTTTTGCTCAAATTTACTTTTAACGTTTACGCCATTTTGTATATATTTCATTTAAGCGCATGTTTAGTTATTTTAAGCAAGGTTTTTGCTCAAACCAAATATTTGTAGCCTTCGCGTTTTCATTTCCTTGTAAATAGTGAGTATCGTACAGGGTCGTATCGTCTAATATTGCTTGCGAAACGATGTATTAAGATATTTTTGACACGCTGGGGACTTCATAGTTTGTAAGTAGGTTTCTTTGTTGGAGAATTGAAAATATTTTGATACATTTTCTTGTAAATATGGTCGGTTTATGTGTACTGGGTGTTCAGGGTAATCTGTGCCTTAGGTTTTAAGAACGCCTTTGTATAATTCATATAAAAATGTGCCTTTTTACTATTTTAGGGATAAGAACTATTTATTATTGTATTTATAGTTTTTTTTTGTATGTAAATGTAAGGAATAAATCGATTTTTAGTTACATTTTGTTTCACTTGAGAAAAACCACATATTACTATCGATAAACATTTTAAAAGTAAATATAATTTTAAAATAAAAATATATTTCAATTATTTTTTTGTTCATCTATGGTTAAAAATTTCTTATCACAGAAAACTAATAGAAAATGGAGAAAAACAATTGGGTTTTAAAATCGTACATAACCTAAAAAAAATATTTTTAAGGACTGCACGATTATACACAAACAGATTAAAAACAAGGAACTTGTAACTATTTTAAGTATTTCGGAGGTCCATAAAAAATTAAACGACCTTGAGAATAATTTTTTAAGTAATTTTAAAATTGCTAAGAATATTTCTAAAGGTCTTCAGAGATATTTGACGATAAAATGAAAAACGAAAAACAAATGACAATTAAGGATTATTTCAAACAAGCAGAATATCCTTGCTAGATTGTACGACCTCCCAAGTATATTTGTATCGTTAATGAAACAAAATAAAGGTGTATCTCATTTATTTTTTCAAATTTTCAAAATTATCCTATTTTGTCGTAACATTGTTCAATAATTGAGATACGTCTAAAATTTAACACTTAACAGTATTGGGGATTACAGTGTAAGATTAAGTTAACAACATAGGAAAAGCTATTGGAACTTTATTTAATGGTAGGCCAAATATTAAGATATTACTTTTTGTTTTAATGACGATATGTTTGTAGGGACATTATTATTAAAGCTTAACAGTATTGCTTCTTCTTCCGTGCAAATCATTTTTGAAATCTAATACTACAGTCAGTTACCTAAGTCAAATTACATGGCATATCAGTTTAAAATGACACATACACAAACACTAAATTACACTGAAAAGAGTACAGTAAGATAAAGTAAATAATATAATACATTCTGCAATGGCGTTTAATGTTTAGCTATTAAGACACGAGAATATCTCTATCGTAAGGAATGTGTACTGTGTAGCCATTAAATGTGATTTGCATACACACTAGGTATATTTTCTAGTATCAGTCACAATAATGAAAAATTTAATAAATTTTGAAAAGATAATATAATGAAATAAAACAGAAACGTCAGAAAATGAAGGTTTAAAAAAATATTTATATTCCGGAGAGTACAGTTATTTTGCACACACTATCACTAAACACAAATCGAAGTTGTACGATATTTAAAAACTGAAAAATTAGTACAGCTACCATCGCGATAGCCGCGACACGACTGACGCGACATCTACAGTCAAATCAACAATAAGTTTCTTTTTTGTTTTATAATAATTGCAGGCTGCTTGAGTGTAACCTATAAATTATTATCAAGAAATATAGCTTTTAATTAGTTTAATTCTTGTCATAAAATATTTAATATAACAGAAATTGTCCCGAAAATCGGTTTCTAATAACGCTCTCTTGACTAGCGCAGTGTGTCTGTTGGGCAAAACTGCGCAGTCTCCATTTTGAATTGAAATTGTTTGCGGTATTTGGATTGTTGTGAGTTTATAAGGTTTTGAAACAGTTATTCTGGAGATTTAATTATTTAATTGTGAATTATAAAGATGTGTAACTTGATAACTGACGAAGAAGTGGAGAATTTCATTTTGAAATTCCTCACGAAGCAGAAATGGGAGGAATTAGGCGATATAGTGAAGACCCGCTACCGAAATATGACGAGGAATTATTTAAGCGTGCCTAAGGATCGTAAGTACAGACTTTTTACTGATTAACGTCTGCTAATGGTACATATGAAGTACTTTTATGAAATTGTTTCAGTCCTTTTTTTGTGCAATTGACAAGAACTGAGTTTTTAATACGATCACTGTGTAAATGTTTTCAATAACAATATATCTTTTGTTTTCTTTCACGTAAAATATTTTATGTGCTTGCAAGCACTACATATATTCAATGTAGAGATAAATTTCACAATTTAGCAAAATGTTAAGAGCTGAACAAAAACCTTTTAAAAAATCACAAAATTTCCTTTTTTGCTCCTATCTTTTAAACACAATGTAGAATTAGATATAGGCAGAGCAAATTTCAATTTGGACTTATTTAAACACAATTTTCAGAAAATATCATGCCTCTACCTGATTACATATGTAAGCCTGCGTACAATAAACCAAATCTTCACCCTAAATCGACGGTTAAAGCAAGAAATGTAGAGTCGGTAGAAAAAGTTGAACCGAAAGGTAGGTAAAAAAAGCAGTTTAAGTTCCAGTTACTACAAAATGTGACATTACAGTCCCAATTCGCAAAAATCCAAAAAGAAACGTGACACAAGTTAACTATTACGAAGAAGCAGAACCTGGAGAGGACAGATACGTATGTGAGTAGTGTGTTTTCTTTTTAAGAAAAATGCCAACACTAGTAAATCGTGAATTTTAGTTTGCGACAACTGCGGGGAGGAATACTTAGACTACTGCTCCAAGTGTGGCGTGTTGAAGTCCTTGCTGGACTTCCCGGTACCTTTAGGGACGGAGGATAGGGCCAAGAAGACGGCGCCCAAGGGAGTTTTGGAAGTTCGTCCGTCCAAAGTTCACGGTTTTGGGGTGTTTGCTAGCAGACATGTTAGAAAGGGCATCCAGATGGGCCCCTACCAAGGAGAGATTACCAGAGTGGATACCACCAATGGGTACTGTTGGAAGTTGAGGGATGGCAGATTGGTGAGTACTGTTCTATATTTAACAATGTTGTTGAATTTTTTTCTGGTTACCTATTCCCATTAAAACTTTATAAAACAGACCTATTTTTAATCAAATATAAGATATATTATTTATTTAAGGCAGTGGAAAAAATATTATGATGTTTTTTATTTAATAAAATTGCTGAAATCCCGTGACGCCCCGTGAAAAAAAAATTATTGAACTGTATTATTCAATTAACGATAATGTGCAAGAGTTCGGCAGGAATATCGGTAAATTTATTTTCGTGGACGAATCCCGCCAACGAACACTAAAAATTATTATTAGAAATCTTAGATGGCCAGATAACAGCCCCTACCTCAGTCCCTTAGACATATTTTTGTGGGGACACTTCAACAAAATCTATTATTAAAAACCTCAAAATTTACAGGTATTGAGAGAAAAATACAGGACGAAATGTTTGATAATTCTGAATTTATTTTTAAAGCAATGAATAGTAAATTAAAGCATATATTCAACTGTTTTATCACAATTACGGGCATGTGAAAAATTTTAAAAAATTTGTAGGTATCTTAATGTTATTTCGTTTCGTTTATGTTGTTGTAAAGGTTAGTTATAAAAATCGGTATTTCTTATTTCAATAAAGATATATTTTAATTTTTTTAACGATTTTTTACTTTATGCATATATTTTATGGCAGCAAATTTTTATAATGTCGAAAGGAATAGAGGAAAAGTCGTACATTTTTGTATTTAAAGTTTTTTTTCTCTTTGATTACACAGCCACACAAAAGAAGAAAAGTTGTACATTTCATGCGACGTATGTTATCTGTAGTATTTTTGCCTCCTGGTCACGAATCCGGTGTCAAAATTAAGCTATCACATCACAGGAATTTCCTAACCTCAAAAAACAGGTAAAAAATAGCAAAAATTCATGAAAAAGTGCTAGGAAAAATACAAAATTTTTTTTCTTCTATATTCAAATGTTCATTTATATGGTTAAGACCCCGCCCAACGTGAATTCGCGGTCAGAATTAATGGTTCTTTTTCTAACCTCAAAAAAACGGGTCAATTAAGGTCAGATATCACAAATTTTTAAACAATAACAGATTCGCGCCAAATTTGGTATACGGGAGTTTTCTAGGTCGCTGATTACGGATCCGACGGCAATTATGCAAACATTCAAGATGGCGGATCCAAGATGGCCGACCAAATTTTCAAAAAAATAACAGAATCGCAGCAAATTTGGTATACGGGGGTTTTCGGGGTCGCTGACTACGGATCCGACGTCAATTTTGCAAAATTATAGATGGCGGATCCAAAATGACCGGCCAAGTTTTAAAATAATAACAGACTAGCAGCAAATTCGAGATCTATTCACGGGTTGAATTTTCTATAAATCTGATCTCGGATTCGTGATCAGCGACCCCGAAAACCTCCGTACACCAAATTTGGCGCGAATGTGTTATTTTTTGAAAATTTGGTCGGCCGCCATCTTGAATTTTGCAAAATTGGCCTCGAATTCGTGATCAGCGACCCCGAAAATCCCCTTAAACCAAATTTGATGTGAATCTGTCATTTTTTGAAAATTTGGTCGTCCATCTTGGATCCGCCATCTTGAATTTTGGAAAATCCGTGATCAGCGACCCCGAAAACCTCCGTACACCAAATTTGGCTCGAATTTGTTATTTTTTGAAAATTCGTGATATCTGACCTTAATTGACTCGTTTTTTGGGTGGATTACAAAAAGAACCATCAATTCTGACCGCCAATTCACGTTCGACGGGGTCTTAACTATAAATGAACATTTGAATATAGAAAACAAAATTTTTTATATTTTTCCTATCACTTTTTCATGAATTTTTGCTTTTTTTTACTTGTTTTTGAGGTTAGGAAATTCCTGTGATGTGATAGCTCAATTCTGACACCGGATTCGTCATCAGGAGGCAAAAATACTACACATAACATATATGTCGCATGAAAAGTATAAACAACTTTTCTTTTTTGTGTGGCTGTGTTATTAAATCTATAAGCGGCTGTACTACTAATAACCCACTGTATATTAAATAAATTTATAAAAATTCTGGCATTATCAAATATAAAATATAAACAGAAATTTTAACGAAAACCCCGAAACACGTCAATTTAATTTTGTCAATTTGTTTACATAAATCATATTTTTAATTCTTTTTGAGTAAATATGATTTTTTTATAAATAAAAAATATAGTTTTTCTGAAATAAAAAATAAGGGTAGCAACCCCCAAACACGGAATCACTTGCGAAATATTTGTTTTTTATCATAAGTAATTTCCATTTTGTTTCATTTCAAAATATTGATTAGAACCCCAGAAATTTTGAAAAAACTGTTTTGGGGGGCGAACTTTGAGGGTGTATTTCACCCCGTAAATATGTTTTTCCGCCGATAAAAAAAATACGTGTCTCTTTACATTTTTTAGAGTAGATTGAAAAAAAAATTACAAAATTCATTCATTTTTCTGCTTGTTATGATTTTTTTAAATTTCTGAAATCTTCCCTTAACTTCTAGCCTCCCTAACTCTGTTAATTTTAATAGTACAAGAAAAAGTCAAGATGCCATTTTTATGTAGAATTGTATGCTTTACAACTTTTATAAGAAACTTTTTTTTCTAGCCCTTGCCCCTTTTGAATTATATTGAAAAACCCCTTTTTTTATCTTTTTTTACCCTTGGCCGGGGGTTGAACAAAAAATTACTCTCACTTATTGTTATAACATACCTCAAACTAACTCATATCAAAAATTCAGGCAATTTGACCAAAATTTCGATTTAAAGGCTTATTTAATTGGACTATTAAGTAAATACAGTAACGCAAAACATAGGAATTGATACAAAAGTGAAGAAAAGACAACATTGCGAAACTGTTGTTTATTTGTTGCTAGGATACGCGTACGATTGCCAGCCGCTGCATTTGATTCTTCCTAAAATTCTGTTGGTGGTGTATTCTATCGGCAATTCGGAAATTTAAAACTGCTGTCCTATTCTGTGCCGAGTTTGATCTTTAGTTTCGTTGATGAAAATTAGATGTCGTGCCGGTAAAAATTAACAAAGAATGAACATTAAATTATTTTCAGGAACAATCAGTTGCATGTTATGGTAAAACATTGGTATACTACAAAACGTTTTGTTTGTAATAAAAGACCTATTTATAAAATTCTTAAATTATCGTTATTTTCAATGTTTTTACTTTTTCTTATACTTTTAAAGTAAATTTCTCATCCTGAACAACCAAACTATTTAATATTTATATAAAATTTGTTTTTATTTTACATTTTAATAGATAGGAGCAAAAAAATCGTAGTAAAAATGAGACCCCAAATGCACCGTTTTCGAGATATAGGGTGTCAAAAATAAAGGATTTTTTTCAGTTTATTGACGATATCTCAGGAATCGTTTGAGACACAGAAGTCAAATTTTGTACACGTATTAATATTGATATTAGCTATTTTTGAACGCTAATACAATTTTTATTCATATGACAGTGGCGGAGATTTTAGGATTGCGTGAGGTTCTTTTGCCCCTAATTTTTACGACTATGGGAAAATTGGCATATTCAAAGCATATTTTAAACCGACAATGTTTTCTACACAAAAAAGATACTCATCATTAAAAGGTCTAACACGAACCGTTTTCAAAATAAATGGTGTTTTATGTAGTCCAATTAAATGGGGTTTTAAATCGCAATTTTGGACAACTTGCCTGAATTTTTTATATAAGTCAGTTTGAGGTATATTATAACAATAAGTGACAGTAGATAAAGATAAAATAAAGGGTTTTTTTCAAGATAATTCAAAAGGGGTAAGAGCTAGAAAATTAAATGGCCTATTGACTTTTTCTTGTACTATTAAAAATAACAGACTTAGGGTGATTAGAAGTTAAGGGATGATTTCAGAAATTAAAAAAATCATAACAAGCAGACAAATTAATGAATTTTGGAATTTTTTTCCATCTGTTCTAAAAAATGTAAACTATCTTTTCAGAGAAATAGGTATTTTTAATTTGTAATAAAAAAAGTTATTAACAATTTCACAAAGCGAACGTGATTTTTATCTTTGTTGTAAAGCAAAATTTCGAAAGCCACTTTTCATTATTTTAAATATAATAATTAATCGAATGGCATAGAAAAAGATTGATTTAGTGTTAAATCATAAAAATTAACGATTAAAAAATTGAAATTGTTATATCTTTTTTATTAAGAATTAAAAAATGTTTCTATTTCTCGGGAAAATAAAGTTTACATTTTTTAGAGTAGATTGAAAAAAAAATTATAAAATTCATTCATTTTTCTGCTCGTTATGATACAACTTTTATAAGAATTTTTTTTGTAGCTCTAGTACCTTGAAAAATTCCTTTATTTTATTTTGTTTACTCCTCAAACTAACTTATATATCAAAAATTCAGACAAGTTTATCAGTTGACCAAATTGGCAATATGATAAAAAAATAAATAACAAAAATCAGAATAATTGTTGAAAATGACCTCCTCCTACGGTAATGCAGGCTTCCAAAGTACGTCTGCAATAAGATGCGCAACATTCTGGGCATTTTGCAATGGGTATGCCAATCACTCAGACATAGGTTGGACCTTTTAGAACTGCATAAATTTGTAGTATATAACTGATAATAGCAGGAAAAAAATAATTTTCTTAATGCTATCGGCGCGTGATCAATAACGCATTGTGACGTCATTTAGTGCGATCTAAAATACAACTTACTTCTTGGGCGTCTTCCGTACACTGGGAAAACAGAATTCAGGGTTCAAAAAGTTCCAGCACTTCCATTTTGATTTGTATAAACTGTTTTTTAATGATCCTGGAACTACGCAAAAACAGACTGTTAGTTTGATTTATGAAAAAACGCAGAAGCCTATGAATGCTTAACGGTTTATGGGCTTAAGTATTTATGGGTTAATTAGTTATAATTTTTCATAAATCAAGCTTGACAGTCTTTTTTTTACATAGTTTCAGGACCATTAAACAAAATTAACTTACAAATCAAAATGTAAGTCTGTAGCGGTTTTTAAACCTTGAATTCTGTATTTTCCCCAGTAGGCTATTGAATATATCCAAAAGACAGGGTTAAAAGGAATATGACGTTCAAGCAATTTTATTGCGTGAATTGTTCAAGGGGTCATTTTAGACGAAAAAAAATACGGAGTGCTATTAAATTAGAGGGTGGAAATTGGAGATAGGGGTGAAAATGCATGAAATTGTAGCTCAAAAACGAAGCAAAATTTCGCTATATGTAGTAGTAAAATTATTTAGAGAATTGAATTTCCCATCGAAATGGCTTATTTAAAAAATTTAAAAGGAAAATTTTATTTTTAATTTTACTCTATATGTATGTATAGCTATTTCCCTCCTTAAAAAATTGAAATTTTGATTTTAAAATTTGTATTAGGACATTATTTGAGGTTATAAACAGATTTGTTTTATAAAAATGTTGTGTAAAGTAACAGATAATGGTAGGTACTTCTCTCTTGAGTATTTTCGTGTTTTTTTTATTTTATGAGCACCCTGTATATCTGATCTATGATGTTTGTATGACAATCTCATTTTTTCGAGGGGCAGAACTTTTTATAAAAAGTGACATTTTTGAAAAAGTCAAAAACAAAAGAGTTTCTCCTCTTGTCAACTCCATCCGTGCACACTGTATATACATTATTAATAAACTTTATTGCACTTAAATTCTCAAGTTTTTACTAAATTATTTTATTAAAAAAGTAAAAAAAAATCAAAAAATATTATTTTTTGCTTTCTAATAGCTGTTTTACATTGACAATTTATTGATCAATTAATTCATGAAGTCGTTTAATCAAGACATTGGACAAGTGTAATGCACCAAATCCGCTGTCAAATAAATTCATGAATTTATTCATCAACATGACGAATTAGAGCATGTTCTAATTTTCGTCAATTTCTTCGTGAAGTTCGGAAGTACCAACCCAACAGATTTCCACCCTCAGGTCAGTAATGAGGTTATGTTATTGGAATATGTAAATAATTGTGTGGCGTCGTACTAGTTTTGCATTGTTTTTAATGATTTGTTACTTACAAACACTAATATTTATATAATATGTGTCAAAACGGTACCGCTGTTGTATCACTACGATTATGAGTGGAAAGGTGACATTTTTGAAATTTATTTGCTTCTTTGATTCATTGGTAGCACTGATTCATACGTAAAAAAACTTGACAAAGACTGTAGCAGTGTAAAACCACACTGTTTACCAATAAATTCGTGAATTAATTCATGAAGAACTTCGTCAATTTATTCANAATTCTCTACAAAATTTTTCCTATGAACTATACCGATATTTTGCTTCGTTTTCCTGCTATCTTTAAAAAACTGCAAAAGTGCATTTTCACCCCTATCTTCAATTTCAACCCTCTAATTTAATAGCACCGCGCAGTTATTTCAGTTTTAAAGATCCTTCGAACAAGTCATGTGATGAAAATCCTTGAACGTCTTATTTCCTTCTTTTTTTGCAAAAAAATGAGAATTAAAACGTATAAGGGTAAACGCGACGAAAATCGAAAAATTGGCTAAGTTTGAGAGGCCATATATCAGTCAATTTTCATCCAAAAATACTTTACAACCTCTTGTTTTGAAGGAAATTTTATCTACTTTTTCTTCTATAAAGCAATGCCTATACCTATCTTTACTCAAACAAAACTAGAGGCAAAAAAGTTCAAAAAATCAGAAAATCGAATTTTTTGCTTTTTTCAAATTGTTTATTAACGATTTTTTTGCATCAAATGTTCCTTTTATATTTTTTTAAATAAGCTATTTCGATGGGAAATTCAGTTCTCTAAATAATTTTTCCTATGAACTATAGCGAAATTTTGCTTCGGTTTCGAGCTACAATTAAAAAACTGAAAGGGGTGCGTTTTCACCCCTATCTCCAATTTCCACCCTCTAATTTAATAGTACTCCGCGTTTTTTTCCATCTAAAATGGCAATTTGAACGATTCATGTAATAAAATATCTTGAACGTCCATAGTTCCTTTTAAAATCCTCTATTCAATAGCCTACAGTGTGTGCTGTCTAACCTACCATTCAAATGACGACACGAAAAAACCTAATCTAAAATTATGTCTCTGTTATTCGTCTTTTCGATCGCACTAAATGACGTCACGATTAGCGCGTTAGCAAACCGTTTAAAACATTTATTTTCCACATCAAACTTCAATAATGGATTACTAATTAACAAATTGAAATGGTTGGTTGTATTTTCTTATCCCTGTGAACTTACAGATCGACGGTGCCGACGAGACGCGCTCCAACTGGCTGAGGTACGTCAACTGCGCGAAAAATGTGGCGGAGCAGAACGTCATAGCCTTCCAGTACAACGGTCAGATCTACTACAGGACTTGCAGGGACGTGGAGAAGGGCGAGGAGCTGCTCGTGTACTACGGCAAGAGTTTCGCCGAGGTCCTGGGCATCAACACGAAGAAATACTTCGAGCCGAATAGCGAGGAGGTGGACAGCGAGTACTACTGTTGCGAGTTCTGCAAGGTGGGACTGAGCACTAGGGCGTACAGGGACACGCACGAGAAGTACTGCAGGTTCAGACCGAACAGGATGGTGTTGTGTTCCAAGGACGACAACTTCGTGTGTCAGTTTTGCGAGTGTACGCTGACCAAGGATGAGTTTTTGAAGAAGCATGAAGTGTATTGCAGGAAGAACCCGAAACGGTAAGTTGAATTTCGTAAATATTTAATGATGACAATCGAATTACGCAATGTCGCGGAAAGAAAATCGATATTGTGATAGACTAGACCACAATATTCAATACGATTTTAAGTTAACTCAAGGTTATTTAAAGGTCAACTATTTTTTTTTATTATAATACAATTTTTGTCCCCGGATTCTGAAAGAGCGACTAATTTTACGTTTGAATACGTCGTTGTTTTATTTTTTAAGGTCACGTTTAAGGTTGTTTGAAGGTCATTTCTTGTTTTTTGATGGTAATACAATTTCTAACACCAGATTCTGAAATAGCAAGAAATTTTACGATTGGAAACGTGGTTTATTTATTTTTCCATTTCAAGATCATCTGAATGTCAAATCCTCCCTCTAGAACTTCTCAAGTAGGTATCTCGGGAAAATTATTTCTATAAAAGTTGTTTGGCTCATTGGGGACCGCCTTCCGGTGACCTTGAGGGTCCTATTCAAGGTTATTTCAAGGTCAATGTTTGTTTTGTTTCATCAAATTAAACGTTGTTTGCGGTAAAAATGCGAGAAAATCTCAAAATTTTTTGTTTTCCATTTTAGTCATAATTATGAAGTGTTTAAGTTAGATCGAGATGAAACTTCACAGGGTTCTTCTGGGAATATCGAACTGTAAAAGTCATGCTTAACCTTAGTCATTTCGTGAATATTTCTAATTTAGCCGTTAATTTTCTAAAAAAAACAGATCGGGGGACCTGGGCAAGATCCGAAAAATTTTTTTAGAATCAAACAAAAAACTGTTTAGGTTTTGAAATTCAATATCGTTTTTTTTTTTTTTTGAAAAAGGGCCTGCGTAGAGCTTGTAGCCCCGGGCCTCACCGTAGGTTAATCCGGCCCTGGTTTTTCGAAATTACTTTGCAACTTATTTCGTCTGGAATTGCGGGCTTTCTTAAAATCAGATAGAAATGGGTTGAAAATAGTATTAAATAGCAGAAAGTGGAATTGTCATTAAAAAAAAGGAACTGACCTTCAAATAACCTTGATAGAGTGCTAACTTCTTCAAACGAACGACGGCTTCGGATTCAACTCCCCCAAAAACCGTATGAGTATGGTGGTTTAGTTAATCACACATTGAATTTTTTATACGGTGGGACTGTGTTATTATTATACAGAAAGTTTCAGAATTACACACCATAAACTCTAGGAACAATGAAATATTAAAAAGTAAGGTTATTTGCTCAATTATACAGGGTGTAACTTTTAATGTGGGTCAATTTTTTAGAGCTGATAGTACGTCTTCCCCAGAATATTAATTTGTAACTATTTTTTTAAAATCAAATATTCGAGTTAAAATTAGTTTTTAAAATTGTGCATAACGACGCGTTACTACGAAACTATGCTATCTCAAATTAAGCTTCGGACTCCGGGTCCGAATAATCGTTCTTAATGCACCTCAATAAAAACAAATGGCTTCTTAAAGGTACGGTAGCCGCGTGCTTGCATAGACTTTGGAAATGAAATGCAGGTATGCGACACTTTTATTACCGGTTCTTTATGATCCGCTGGATATCGATGCGACGGGGGCAAAGCATATGATATGCATGTCCATGTTTTCGCGATTCCCCATGCACACATGTTTATCGTACATATCATATCATTCTAGTTATTATGTTACCTCTATTAATAGAATTTTATGAATAAATGATGTTTTTCTACAAATTGTTTCATCTTGTTCTTTGAAAAATAACGATTGTAAAAACCGAACTTCACACAAAAATTTAAAAATTTTTGATGTTTTTAATTATGCATTTATAAATACAAAGCTGTGTGTAAAAAGCAAGACTTTATCTGAATGCAAGTTAAGAGCAATCGCCAATCGTCCAAGTAAGAACAATTCGGAACCGGGGTTTGGAGCGTAACCTTGTCCACTATAATCCTTTTTATTGCAGTCTCCTTGGAGTCCGCATTAAGGCTTATAAAATTATTTTTAGAATAAAACGAAGACTAGTGACTGTAAATCAGAGTGCGCTATTAATTTTTATATCAAAGCAAACTTGTGAATTTGTTTGAACAAAATCGAATAATTGTTAGTAATAATAAACATTTTTATACAGGGTGATTCATAAACGGTGATCAAAAATGAAACCTCGTATTCTTTGGTGAATTTTAAGGGCAGTCTTTCGTATAGAGTTTTTATCTATGACGGTTCGTTAAAAAGATACAGGGTGTGAAACTTAAAAAATATGTTTTATTTATTTAAATATATAAAAACTAGTAAGTGAAATAATTTGAAATGGGGCATATGTATTTACGTAAACGTTGTCCAGAATCTGAGGCTTTTTCCTAAAATTTTGATGCTCCAGTGGCGGAGATACAGAACAGAGTATCGGTGATATATTTTTCGAAGTAAAATAGTTCGCCACTGCTTTACGGTAACAACCATATCCGGATTTGTCTTTCAATTTTCTATAAATTCCTACCCTCTTATGATTTTCGAAAAAAAGCCGTATTTTTGAGTAAAACTTAAAAAACTGAAAACACAATTCCGATATTCTGATAAAATGGTTTGTGTGAAGTTATCCACACATTTCCATCCACAAATTATAACGTGGGGTAAACTACTTTTGAGATAGAGTATCTGATATACTATTTCAGGTGTGCGGCAAATCGACATTCTGTGTAACAGAGTCATCCATATCTACACTTAAGACACTTGGCCGGCGTTGCTACAAATATGTTTATAACAATTAAAAGTGATATAATTAAAGTGTATTTTCATGAGGGATAGAAGGGATGATGTTCGCCTGCCCGTTTGAAGGGGTGAAAAAATTAAAATATGATTCCGTGGATGGAAATTTCCGAACTCGATAACTTGGTACAGGGGAGGTGTGCGTAAATGAAATTTTAAGGGATGACGTCTCTCTGGATGGGTAACAACCTAGTATAGGTGGAACAGTTCGCCTGCCCGTTTGAGGGGGTGAAGAAAATTAAAATATGATTCCGTGGGTGGAAATTTTCGAACTCGATAACTCGGTACTGGGGAGGTGTGCGTAAATGAAATTTTAAGGGATGACGTCTTTCTGGATGGGTAATAACCTAGTTATACGATAAAATGCGGTTTAAAATTATGTACATAGCAGGTAACTTTGACATTCTGAGCAGTTAGAAGGAAGAATAAATAATGCTTTTCATCAGATTCAAGCAACAATAAATTTCGATAAAATTACATTTTCTTTACTAAAGAGATGTCGCGCCTGTGTTCGTGGAAATGGAGGTATTTTTGAGCATTTACTCAAATAAAATCATTAAAATGATGATTAATATTATTTATTTCTATATTCTTTTAAATAACCGAATGATTAGTGCTTGTCATGTCATTTAAATAAAAGTATTTTTTAAGTGTTACTCGAAAATCAGGCTTTTTTGAAAAACATAAGAAAGTAGTAATTTGTGGAAAATTGAAATACGATTGCGAAAGCATCATGATTGGGTTGTATAAATCAGTGGTATACTATTTCATGTAGAAAAATATGCCACTGATACCATCTCCGCCACTGGAGCGTTTAAATTTTAGGAGAAGGCCTCAGATTTTGGACAATGTTTTCATACATGCTCGTAATGTGAACTATTTTATTGTAAATTTTATGTACGAACTACTTATTGCATTTTTTTCCTGTAGAAAAAATTATTTTTCTGAATTTATAAATTATTTATTTCAGCGGTAGTGATCGTATGTGGCGGTGTATGGGGTATCGTGAGGATTAAAAAATTAAAACGGGGATCGATTTTTTGTTTCAGCGAAATCAAATCGTCCGGGAAAGAAAAGACGTTCCAGTGCGCAAGTTGCGATAAGAAATTTAAAGAGAAACGGTATTTGGTCCGGCACGAGGTAATCCACGATAAAAGAAAAGCGGAAATGTTTGCGTGTCAGAAGTGTGCCTTTAAAACGGTCCATTCGTCAAGTTTATATGTGCATATAAGGACTCACGAATCCCTGTCACGGCTAACATGTCCGCTTTGCCAGAAGGGATTTAATGATAAACAGAAATTAGACGATCACGTTTTGAGGAAGCACGCACATCTGCGCCATCTGGTGACGTCGAGAATACATCGTTGCCGGCAGTGCGGATACGAGACCACAGTCAGCTCTGGTTTAAAAAGCCATCTGAGTGTGCACGACCAAAGCGGTAGCGAGAGATTCGAGTGCGACCGGTGTCATTACGCAACTGCGAGAAAAAGCGATTTAAAAAGACATTTATTGACGCATTTTCCGAGCAATAAACCGTACGTATGCGTCGACTGCGGCAACAAGTTTAGTAAAAAAAAAAGTTTAGACGGGCACATAATGAGCAAACACCGACATCTGCGCCATCTGGTGACGTCGAGAATACACCGTTGCTGGCAGTGCGACTACCGAACTGTACACAGCAGTAATTTACGAAAACATGTGAAAATTCACTAGTTAGACCCCAATGACGAATTACTTTGTCGATTCAAGAATATATTTCTCGACCCGGTCATCAGCCCCAAGAAACGTTGCACTTCTTTCAAGAAACAGTTGAACAACACGGACTAATTCCATGTGCCGCTACGCAACCGCCCACAAAAAAAAACAGTTTAAAAAGACATTTGCTAACGCATTTACCGTACTTTGTTGTATTCGTGAAGGAAGCGGAAATGTTGATTCCCCCAAAAAATATGTACACATACAATTTAACTATTTTTGTTGAAGGACCTTCTTCGTTACATGGGTAATTTTTTCTTGTTATTTCTATTTATAAGTTCATTTTATGTGTGCGGGGTGTGACTAATTGTAAGCGAAAAATTAAGACCGCGCTATATTACAGTTTCTCTGGCGCGCAACCTTTGCGCCATTTCGTGCTTATTTTTTTAAATCTTGTGTTGGCCGAAGCCTCAGTCTCATATTACACCAAACAAATTATATTTTTACTCGAAAAAAGTCCTATCCGCTAGATTATTGTAAAATTGTCCAAAGGAACATAATACAAGACATCTCTCGTCT